TATGCTTTTCACATTGACAGACTCCTAGCTCAGAGATCACTTTACTAACAGTATCCATTTCCCTAGAAATTGAGAATAGAATGTTTGCAAGAATGTTGTATTCCAGGCAAGTATTAAAAAATTTGCTGCATTATACATAAGTTAGAAGATTGAACTAATGGGTCTAGCACGGCAGTCAGCTGCTTGGAAAAGACAGATTATAGTCTATTTCATCTGTTGTTAGTTCAGATTCTTTGAAGTAATGATGTGACTGAAGTAGATCATTTTTGGGTTGTGTGTAGGTATTAAAATCAAACTGAAATCTTAAATTTAAAAGATAAGTAAAATATCAGGTGAATACTTTGAAAAAATGGTTTTGGTCTTAATATCTTGACTAAAATCATCTATCACCATGTTAATTCTCATTAAGTAAAAGTTTTTAGGATATTTGAAAAATGTCAGTTTTATCAATGTGTGTCAAGATACTATGTGTGAAGGAAGGGAGAAGCATTTGATTAGCTGCTGAGTCAATTATAAGTTGAGAACTCTTTGTTTTATGGTTTTTATTCTTAAAAAAAAATCAACTGGCTTTTTATTTCATTGAGACAAGCAAGATCTCACGTAGCTGAGGTTGGTATTGAATTCCTGATACTCCTGTCTCCACCTCTGCAGTTTTGGGATTACAAGTATGTGCCACTATACCTAGCTTGCATTCTGGGAGAGAACTTTTCAAAACATCTTGCATACTTTTTAAGAACTCATATCTTAGCCAGTCATTGGTGGCGCATGGCTTTAATCCCAGCACTCGGCAGGCAGAGGTAGGAGGATCTTTGTGAGTTCGAGGCCAGCTTGGTCTACAAGAGCTAGTTCCAGGACAGGCTCCAAAGGTACAGAGAAACCCTTTCTCACCCCCCCCCCAAAAAAAACCTCATATCTTTCATAGCTCTACAGAGTACTAGTGACTAAGCTGGGCATGATGACACATAGCACTTGGGAGCAGGAGAATTAGGAGCTCAAGATCCTGTGTGCACCTCAATAAAACAAATAAAAAAGCCCTTCGGTGTATGGGTAATGCATGCATGATTAAATGACATTCTAGGGCTGTTGATATGATCTAATTGTTAAGTTTATTTTATTGTAATTCATTGTCTTACCATTTATTGGACATGGGATTGGTAGTTAACAGATGTGAACACAAAATATTGTGTTTCAGTCAGTATTAGTAGCCAGCGACATTCCCTTTGTATTTTTTGAGTTAGCAGAACTTAACCTTTTCTCAAACCATAAACTCTCAGATCCTTTCACCCCCATCCCACCAAGGAGATAATCCTGCTTTTAGCTTTCATTCCCTTCTGAGACAACCTCTAGTATCTCTGCAGATTATTTTCATATGTCTCCAAGTAAGTGGTGTGGTTTTTCATGTCTTTAAGGGATTGCCCCCCATTGTACTGGTCTCTATGCCAAAACTTTTCATCAATGACGTCCAAGAATGTTAAAAACACACACATGCGCACACCTACACCTGCCCTACATGGAACAGTTTAAGAAACAACACTATTTCATTTAAGGTTTTTTATTACACTTATTAGGGTGGGATGGGGCATGCTGCAGTACGTGTTTGGAGGTCAGAGAACAATCTGAGTGAGCTGATTTTCTCCTTCCACCATGTGGATCCTAGGGATCAGGCTGTCGTCCTCAGCAGAAAGCTCCTTTACTACTGAGTCACCTTGCCAGCCCCAGAAACTTGTTTCCTATATAATGAGTTTTATTTTTTGCCTTAAAGTGGATGCATAAATAACAGTGCTACGTAAGATCTCTGGTTTCCTACTTCTTCTTACCCAAGGCTCTAGGGTAGACCGTTGTTTTGGCAGCAGATGCTAGAATGAAGAGGGAATCTGACAACTGAAGTCAAAGAACAGAGCCTCCACCTGTGTGGGGTTGATTTGGACCCCTGTTCGGTGCTCTGTAAGTCAAGGAAGAAACTGTGTAATTGGCACCCCAGGGCCTCCCTTTATCTCTACCCTTTTGTAATCACATTGTAAGATCCACAGGCAGGAAATTGGTTTTGTTCATGTTTTTATTTCAAATATCTGTTTCTTCAGAACAATGTGGGATGGCAAGGAGGGAGAGTGTAGGGGTCCTTTTGGTATAGGTTGGGCAGCTGTAATCTGACAGTTAACTATTCTGTTTAAAATAGCACAGGATTGTTGTATAATTCTATAAATACTTACAATTTTTAAAATTTACAAGGTACAAATATAATGAGCTCCATGTAGCCATCCATTGATCCACCCTTCCTTACAGAGCTTTTCCATCCCCTGTTGCCGCACTGATCAGATGCACTGTGTCTTCCCTCTAAGTAGGTGAGTGACTAATAGACTGTATGAGTGCTCAGGGCACCGCCTGTAGCTGTTGGTCCTTAGTTATCCTCTATCCGAAGACTCTCAGAGTATAACTTTACCCTTTGTTCACTAAATGTATCAAGTTAGCCCTGGAGAATTACCTGTTAATGGTCCCTTATTTCTGAGTGGCAGATAAATTATTTTTGGTTAAACATTATACTGAATTGAAATAACTTTGTGTGTGGTGTGGTGGTGGTATTAGTGACTGAACTTGGGATTTCACACATTTTAGGCAAGCGTTCTTCGGCAGAGTTAACATCCCCAGCTATTAGCTTTACTTTGACACGTTTGCTTTACTCTTACAAGTTTCACTAACTTGATTAGACTGGCTTTGAATTCCAGCCCTTCTAGCTCAGCCGCCTGAAGTAAGCTATTTTTTGGCATCTGTATTTTCTTTTAAGCTTTTGTCATGATGGGACTGGAACCTAGACCTTCATGCATGCTAGGCAAATGCTCCATCACTGATCTCTTTGCTCAGTTAAATAATGTGTTATTTAAAAAAAAAAATCCTGCTGCTGTTTGCTTTTGAGATAGAATCTTCTAGCCTAGGCTACTCTTGAACTCACTGTGTAGCCCAAGCTGCTTCAACTTGAAACTTTACTGCCTTAGCCTTCTGAATACTGGGATTACAACAGTACAGCACCATGCCTGGCCTTTATTAGCATATTTTGAGAGGCTGGCCTGTTAATCTTCTTGACAGTCCTCCTGCTTCAGCCTCCTAAGTGCTGGGATTATAGTCATGAATCATCATGACTGTCCTACAGCTTTTCTTTAAATATATATTTCATATATATTTAAACACTTTTAATATATATTTAAACCCAGCTACATCAGAAGATTTTTTTTTGTTTAAAATGTCCTAAAGCAGGTGCACACGCTAAATTCTAATAATCAAAAGCTATTCATTGGATTTACATAAATTAGGTAGGCCTGGCACTTGCCCTTTTGCCACTGGAGCATAACATAAGCTGTAACAGTTGCCTTTGAGTACATGTCCTTGGGAAAACAGAAATCCAATACTGGTGTGAGTAAGATTTTAAAATACTTAACATGAGTTAAGTAGTCCCATTTGTTACTTAAAAAAATAACCTTTCGCTTAATTTTTCAAGCATCTATTGTGATAATTTTCATTCTTCCATCTGTTTAAAGTAACTATACCAAATGTAGGTTAATTCTGTCTTAAACATAAAATGTAGATTATAGATTTTCAGTGTGTAAAACAATAGGCATTCTTGTTAGTTTGAGAAATCCATTTTATTTTGTTTGAGGTACAGTTCCTCTGAACAGTGAACAAATATATTACAAATCTGTGGTTTAAAAAAGTATTGCCATTTCATAGTCTCTCACACTATTGTACAGTAACTTTGTTCTTTATTTTTCTGACTTGTATACATACTAATTTACTGGATTGAAGTTTTCATTTTGAAATATAATTGAGCAGCTCTTTCCAGTCATTGATAGAATGTGCAGTGCACGTGTTTAGGCTGACTGCAGACTTACTTGTGATTGTTAGACAGAAATTCCTAACAGTAGCTCTGTATGATCGAAATGTCCTAGTGCTAACTCTTAGCTATGTGAAAGCTGCTCTTGTCGCCATAGTCAATCACATCTCTGCCCTTTCCCTCCTCCTCTGTATTGCCTGTTTTGAGTGATGTTGCTTGAAATGTTGTAGAGTACTACAGTTGGAGAGTTGTTAGAGCTCTCCTCCCACTAACGTGTCTCTTCTTTCATGTGTGGGAAATAAAAGAGCCCAAAGAGGGCAAGTGACTTAAAAAGAGTGGTGCCAGCATCTCTTGACTTGGTGCTCCAGTCATCTCATCTCTTGCTGAATACTTTTGTGCAGAGGGTAGTTGGTAAGAGAGAAGTGAGACTTGGAATTTGCATGATTGCAGTTTGCCAGGTAGCAGTTATTGTACATGCAGGATAAGGGAAGAAGATAAAGCCTGGGATTGAGATGCCATTTCTCATTGCTGATTGGATTTTGCCATGCTTCTTCATCCTTGCTTCACAAAGATAATTGAGCACTTGTGGCCCTGAAATACTGAGGTGAGTCTCTTAACTCTATTTCTTTATACATATGTATGAGAAATATTAACTTAGGTCTACAAAGTAATTTTCTAGTGTTCCTATTTTAATAAGGCCTTTTGGGAAGTTTACTATTGCTGATCTCTCACTTCCATGCACACATGCAGCATTCATGTTTATGTTCCTCTATTGCTAAGATTGGCTTATGCCTTGAGTGAAGTAAGGAGGGAGATTTGCTTATATTTTCTTGCTTTTGCTGATTCTTACCCAAACTAAGGGGTTCTAAGCTGACTTCTAGTTAGTATCAACCCCACTTTCTGTAGCAGTATCCAGCTTTGCAGTTTTCTTTCTGTGAACCCTGTTTAGGTAATTTTCACTGGCTAGACCCTTATTCCTCATGAAGAGCTTGGGCGGCACAAGGGTGGCCATTAACTTCCAGTTTGCCCTTTTCCTATAGGAATTAGCCACATCCAGAATTGTCCATGCTTCGGTTTACCTGCTATCACACCATGCAGAGGAAGTTATGACTTATCTGAATAAAGGTTTAAAGCACCAACTAATGGAATACGTGTTTGCCCATTTCAGTAGGTGATGGGTTTTTAAAATCCTTTTTTTTTTACATATATTTCATTTAGTTCCATCAAAAAGCATAATGTATGTTAAGCTACTTAAGCTTGCCATGCCCACATTTGTATAATTTCTTGTACACTTTTAGGGTCCATGCTACATCAAGTGCTATCTATGAAGAACTGCTTGAAAACAAGTCAAGGGACTCCAACTAAGTAAATTGGGCCATTTGGATTGTTTCTAGGGAAACAATTCTTATCAGCCTACACCTTTTCTATGATGCTGGTGATCTACCCCAGGGCCCCACTCACCACCAAGCGTTCTTCCTCAGGGCTACATTCCCAGCCCTGTGACTACTATCTTAAAGTAGCAGCTTAGTTCTCTGGTACACACAGAATGACTCAGTGTTAGGCGTATTAATGCAGTGCAGCCAGGCCAGGACTGGCCTTCATTATTCTTGACAAGACTTGGTAAAGCAGGCATAGAAACCATTCTAGACTGAATGAAACTGCTGCACTTTTGAAATAATTACTCTTTTTCTCCCCCTTTCTGTTTTGCCTCCTATCACTGATGGGATAGAAGAAAGTGACTCTGTCTTTATTAAATTCTTATTTTTGAAAATGCAAGTTGTCAGAAGTATGCTATATTTTAAACTCTGATTATGGCTGTTATACTTTGATGGACCATACCTGTATGTACACAGATTTTACTATTAATATTAGAACAATTCATATCCCCGCACCAGTTCCCTTCGATACTGAAGCAGATGGTAACAATAATCAACAGCACATACACTTTTCAGGTGCTCTAAAGTGCCCCTCTCCATTCCCCAGTCCCCTTCTTCTCCTAGAAAAGTTTGCAAAACCTAAGCCACATGCATTGTAAGCGTTGTTTCAGAATATTAAATACATATCTTTTATCTGAATTTAGCTGATGTTGATGAGTAGCGATGTCTTAAATGTTTTAAAAATTATATCCAGGGCACTTAGGGCTGAAGGTGATATGATTTGCCTTTGTGAACAGACTCCTTGAACAGTTACCCCAATCCCATTTGGAAGTGCTTCTTTCAATCCAGATCAATCTGTACTGATATTTCAAGTCACGGAATTTCTTCTTTCAGAGTCAGAGAATAGTCAGCAGAGCACACTTAAGAGAGAAGTTTATCCTTCTTACTGCTTGTCCTGGGAGGGCCCATTGGCAGGGCTCTGTCTTACTGGGAGGAGGTCATAATGACCAGGAATATGACTGTTCCTAGGTAGGTCGTATGGATTCTGTATATAGCTGGAGTTATGACCTCGGCCTTCTTGGACCACACTGACTGTGGGCTCTAAGGAATATAGTGAAAAATGAGTTCAGAGAACAGATTAGCTTTGTTGCCTTGGTGGGAGATTTGAAAGTTCTATTTAACTTGTTGGGGAGAGGAACAATGGATGTATAAATCTGATAAATGCATGATGATTACGACCGGCTTTCTCTAGAGATAGAAAACCCAAGGGTCAGAATCCCTGCCTCTGTTCAACAAGAGATTTAGGACATCCTAGAGGCGTGGGTCTTATGAGTACCTCTAGGATCACAGTTGAATAGGGGAGGTGTAAGGAAGTGATTTGGAAACTTGTAAACAGCAGTTCTAATGGTTTTCTTTTTCAAACTTGGATTTGCACCAACAATCAGTGGAAGTGTTGTATACTGGTTCCCCAACCTTGCTATTTCTACTGCTTATCAGTTGTAATTTGTAAGCAGAGTGGCAAAAGATTTTGTTTTCCTGCATTAGAGGAGAGGGAAGTTCTGGGATGGAGTTTCTCCTTGGGTTCCTTCAAATGCAGCCAAACAGAAGGGTGTGTTGTGGAGAGGGTGAGTGGAGGAGAGTTAGTTTTCACTTGGGATGCTGCACTGTTGCCCTGGTTTTGCTAAGTTACTTATGTGAGACACCTACCAACTTCATATATATTTTTATTAGATGTCGACAAGGATGGCACATCTGTGTACGGAGACCCCATGTGCACAGGTGACTTCATTTCTACATAGCTGCTTTCTGGAAGCTTGCAGGTGAGGATGGGTGGATCCTTAATTGTAGCATAAGGGTTTTCACTGCTGTTCAAGGAACAAGTACTAGAACTGCACGCAGATTCTTTCATGTAATCTGCAAGGCAAGAGAGATTTCTTAGGAGAAACAAGGACATAAGGATTCATTTAAATACCAGAAACAGACTACAGTCAAGTTTGTGTGCCTGAGGCTGGGACAGACTATGATATTGGAAGATTATTATTTTTTTCTCAAGACAGTTTCTCTTTGTAACAGCCTGGCTGTCCTGGAACTAGCTCCGATAGGCCATACTGGCCTTGAACTCAGAGATCCACCCTCCAACTCCTGCCTCTCAAGCACTGGGATTAAAGGCATGTGCCACCACCGCCCAGCGGAAGATTAAATCTTATTCAGTGTCTTAAGGTATGCTTTCTCAGGCATTCTTTTCCCACAGAAACATGTTATTCACAGTATTTGTTTACATGTATCATTTAGTTTATACAAATGCTAGCTGGTATATTACAGGATGGAAGCCCAGAGAGAGACAGTTAACTTGGCCAGGGTCATGAGCTAGTAAATAGCACTGCAGAGCCAAGACCTTAATCTGTGCTCTAAGATTTCTTGGCCCCATGTTTCCTGTGATAATGACTAGAAACTTGGATTCAGAAGCAGCGCAGCAGTAGCAGCATTTATGTGCCTTCAGCAGATAGTGGCATCCTGGTCTTTGAGGAGCTCATCCTTAGAGTGGGATAACTGAAGTGTGACAGGTATAAAAAGCCCTCAGTTTCAAGCTGGCCTTTGAGAGGGTACCCGTGTCTTAGCAAACTCAAAGTATAGTCTAGGCCCAACTTCCTGGTCCTTGAGAATGTTGACTGGCGCCTGTTTCAGTCATATCCTGCTCTATCATTAGAACTCAGCTGCACGAGGTGCAGAATGACGTCTAATAAAAATGGGATGAAGTGACAGCTCCCCTGGAGGAAGAAGACCCCTTAGTGACTTAGAGTCACAGAGAAAAACTTACTTCCACTCCTACTCTCCTTCCCTTTGGGGTGATGCTCTATCTGCTCAGTAAACAAGTCTGACGGTTGTCACCCTTTTCTGTGAGGCACTGGCATGCAAGGTGTCTAGAAATAACCCTGAGTGGCCAGAGCATGACAGTCAAGAGTAACCTAAGAGGCTTCTCACCTCTAAATGTCTGTGGCAGTCAGCTGGTGAAATTTCTGGGAGTCTTCTCACTAGAACCACCACCGTTTCCATTTGGAGCTCTTATTTAAGCTCCCTGTCCCCAGCTGTGATTTTACTGAAACTGTTAAAAAGCGAAAGCTGTGTCCCAAGGGGAACTGGATGTGCAGGTGGCTGAAGGAACTGAGATGGGCACCACCATGGTGCCCATGGTCTGGTATACAGCAGGTCTGATGCCGAAGGGTTTACTCTGTTGGCAGCTCTTGTTTTAGCAGGTAGCATTTCCTTGGTTTTGTGTAGAAGTGTATTCATAATGCTGGGATGCAGTAGAGCCAGTAACTAAGTCCCTGCTCCTGCCTCAGGGCTTGTGAAGAAGTTAAGACTGAGTGAGGAAGTAAACTCCTCAGGGTCCCACTGTCTCTCAGTACAGTGGAAATTCAAAGCACTTTTCCTTGCAGCTCTGCTCACTAGTTGGGAGGGAAGTTGGCTTTAGTCTGGTTGGACTGACCTTGGTTGATAATGAGCTAGATAATTCTTGCTAGATAATGGGCAGTCTCCACAGTTCTAGTTGGGACTGAGGGTAGGTAAATAGGTACTTCTGCTGGTGGAAGCCTGCCCACGTGGAGAACCACGGCCTGGGTTCTAGACTGTGACTTGCCTCAAGCTGTCATCTTAGTTTGCCTCTCAGTACTTTCTCAGTACAGGGGAATGGTGTAAGCCTGAGAACCTCTGAGTCAGTCCAGTATGGTTGGTCTGAACTCACCAAGCAGGGAGAGAGGTTCAGGGCTTCTTGTTGAAAGCTGTTCATTACCTATCACCACTGTCTTGGTTGTGTATTATGTGGAATTGAGGGATAGCTTATTTTATGTAGCAGTTGAAGAGTGACCTTCATTCCAGTTAGGTTTTGAAACTGAGTGTGATTTGGCACACCTGTAATCCCAACATTTGGGAGGAAAAAGCTAGCAGATCTGAGTTTAAGCCTAGCCTGGTTCACGCATCAAGTTCCAGGCCACCCAGGGCTTTATAGTGAGACCTTGTCTCAAACCAAACAGAAAGAAAGAAACTTGGTGAGAGGCGGGGTAGGAAGAGACTGTTATTACTATTTAGAAATGAGGAAACCAAAGCTCAGAGTTTGTTAGTCTAATACTTAGTGCTTAGGACTCCCACTGTTTTATCTGACAAGATGTTTTTTCCATCAGCATATCTAGTTTACCTGGATTACAAGATCTTCACAGCTGCTTCAGTTTATCCTTCCTGGACATACCAAGGCCTGCTGAGAGGAAAGGCTAAGCTTGAAGCTTAGTGACTGAGTGGCTAAGATAGAGTAGTGCAGGAGCCTTAGAGCCTCACTCAGCTGTATGTTCACAGAAAGTGAATCAGTGGGTTGCTCTCAGTGTTTGATGAAGAAAATGCTAGCTTTTATCCATTTCAGTATATTCCTTCTCATGAGCTAAATTGGAGCTGGGGGAGGGGAGAAGGGGGTTAGGCTCTTCTATACAAGGTTTGCAGGCCAAGACAGGCTGGAGAAATCCATGAAGAGTGATGGTTGGGGAGGGTGCTGAGTTATCCCATCTCTGCCGGGAACTGGAGGAGATAGGGTAAGGCAAGCTAGAAAACTCAGGAAGCCAAGCCTTTCTCTTGTTGAGTCATCCACCTGCCTGCTGTGATGGCAGGGTGTGGGGAAGAGTAACCAGCTGGGCTAGGATACTTCCTCATCCCTTCAGCCCTACTCCCACCCCACTGCCTGCTTGTCAGGGCACTGTGCAAAGAAAGGGGAATCATGCAGTCTTCTAAGTGCCCTGACATTTACTCTCCTTGTTTCCTCCTGGACCATGTGCAGTCATGCATAGTATCACAGTCAAGATGGGTTTCTGGAATGAACATCTTCATTTTTTGAGGAAACACAAGTATAAAGAGGAAACAACTTCTCAAAGTTGCTCTGTGAATATGTTCTGAATCTATTAAGACCTAATATTAATTTAAAGCCCAAGTTACTCAAATATATGTAGAAACTCAGGCACTAAGTATCTGTTGGTCACCTCTGAGCCACTGCTATCAGTAGGAGGTCACACTGCTGCTTCTGTTCCTGGGGTTAAGTTCTTCACTTCAGTGAGAGATAGGATATGGGGAGGGGTGAAGTGGGGGTGGGGACAGAGTGGTGTCTAAGATCCAGAAAAGATCGCAAGAGTTGTCAGGAGTTCAGTGGGCTTCTGAATGTCTGAAAACCCAAAGTTACTTGAAGGAGTGGGTGGCAAGGGAGCACAGGTTGTGGGAATGGCAGTACAGGCTCAAGAATTCCCAGACAGAAGGTAGAGAGAAGTGGATTTTTTTCTGTCAGACTCTGAATGCATGACAGACAAGGAATTGGACATGTGACAGTTTATTATACAGTCATTATGCTGCAGAAAAAGGTAAGACAGGCGCTTAGCTGTGTAAGCAATCTCCTTCAGTCTCCCAGGGTGATGGTGAGTGGAGTTCCCAGTTAGAGAAAAAGGTAGATGTTACCTGACTTAGGACTGTTAGAATGTCAGAGTTGGGAGGCCTTAGCAATGGTGCTGTTACAGCTGTCCTTTTAAAGAGGCCAAGACCCACATGGACTGCTGTGTCTAGTGAGCACCATACAACTGAACTGGAAGCCAAATGTTTCATTCTCTGCCCTCCCCACACACACAAACACATCAAGTTTAGAGAACCTCTAGACTCTTAATTAGTCCTGTGGGTTTGGCTTGCCGCTTATTGCTTTAGGAAATAGTTTAATAAGTGACAGGAAGTAGCTGGTCACAGATGTTTGGGGAATTTAGCTAATAGGTAGGATTTGTTCCATGAGTTTTGTAGCATTTCTTACACTAATATTTAAGCTCTACACAGATATTTCACTGGCCTCTTTTTGAACTCTATTGTGCCATGTTGGCCCCCAACATGTATGTATATTTGCCTACACAGCTCTTTCTCTCTCTGAAGGCTGATTAGAGCCAGCTGTGAAACAGTCTGGCTGCTTGCCTGAGAGCGCCTCCCATGCACTCAGATGACTCCAGGAGACAGGAATGCAATGATGCCCGGGTAGAGACTGGCTTTCATTGGCTTTGTTTTATATTTATGGTTTTGAGTTTAAAAGTAGTTACCCTAATCACCATGCACAGGATGACAAGGTGTATAGTGAAGGTGTGCTAGTCTCAGGGCCTGGATGAGCTGTTCTCCATTGAGTCATGCAGCTTCTCAGAGCCTCAGAGGCCCTGGGAGAGCCCTCCAAGTCCCCATTCCACATTGAGAAACAGATTTTGGGTCATAGTGAACAAGTGGCATTATGACTCTTCTGTTGGCATCCATACATCCCGAAATGGTGATTATTTAAGCCAGAATCCTCAGAAACTTGCCATAATCAAACTCCAAGGGTAATGCTGCCTATAGGCTGGATTGGAACTTGGCCTCTCCCTCCTCAAACAGGTCTCCTGGGCTTTGCATATCCTAAATGGTTAGCCCTGCTGTTGTCTTTCTTGTAGAACACACCACCTCTCGAGTTTTGCTCATTTACTTCTGATAGCCAGCTTCCCTAGAGTTGTACACAAGTTGCTCTCCTTTCTCCTTGATTAGGAGATGGCCATGCTAGATTTGAAAGATCGGAAATCTGGGGCAGTTTAGACAAATATAGTTGGATAATAAATTACATTAAGGATAGCCTGAGATACTCCTCTCAGTTGTAGGGACCCCGCTCTCCATCTACTGCACCTGATGTGGGTATAAACCTGCAATTTGAACATTTGTGGGGTGATTCTGGTGCAGGGGTAGATAGAATATCAGTGGGATCCTCACTGACTTCTCTTACTGCTCTTTCAGTTTGACTGAGACATTCCCAGAGACATCACATTGGTACCACTTTTATAATATACAAAAGCACTTCCCATCCGATTTTATTGGACACCCAAGATAACCTTGTTAGATAATAAGACAGGCATGAGTCAACAGGACAGGCATAAATATCCCAACCTTGCAGATGAAGAAACAACCTTAGGAAACACACGGTTAATAAGTGACAGAGTTCCGAGGCACTCTGCGTAGCTCACATGTTCCAGCATTTAAACCTAGGACCTAATGGGCGGGGGGGCTGGACTTGATCTTTGATTTTTGGCTTCACCTGTAGACTTCCTAGAGGGATGGTCCACCTTGTATGTAGTTCTTGTGGCGTAGGGGTCTTTCTTGGCTTCCCTGCTCTTGTGCGCAGAGATCTCCCGAGGGTAGGGGCTGTTAACACTGGGCATCATTTGTATTCCTTGTGCCCCAGAAAGGCAGCAGGTGCAGGGTGGTGGTCCTTGCCAGTACAACAGAAGGCCTCTGGGGCAGGTAGATTGACTTTATTTCAGATTTATAATCAATTTAGCTCGTACTAATTGGTTGGATAATGACAGTCTACATTTCCGCAGACATTTAGTTGGCATCTATAACAAACCCACAAGTGTTTGCTGAGCAGGTGCAACTGCACTGGAAAGATGAATTCGTTATTATTAGGATTACTCCTCCTGGGCAGAGCCACCCAGTGACTCTGGTCCTGTGATCTTTTTAGCTTTTTTTGTTTTTTTAAGGGGCATAAGTCTACAGTTTTCTCCCAGGCAGTATTTCTTGCCGTTTCAGATCGGTAACAGGACATCAGGATTAGATACTCTACCTTTGAAGCCTTTGTCCATAATGTATGTGTTCTGACGTCTATCCATTCCACAAGTGCCTGCATAGAAACAGAAGGAAAGAAAATACAGGGTAAGGTTTCCTTAGACAGCTGGTGGCTTCCTCCTCCCCCTGCCTTTTTCTTCCTTTACCCAGAAAATAGTTTACTCCTAACAAATTATTCTGGATTTAATCTATTCTAAATAGTTTTGAACAGGCTCATCACATCAGATGGACTGCAACACCTTTTTTTTTTTTCTTTCCTTTTAGTCTGCACCTGTCTTTCAGGATGCCACCTTTGATCTCTGTAGGTGAAGTGCCAGGCTCTAGAGGCACAGGGTAAGGAATGAAACTAGACCAGTCCTTAGCTGGAGGGTTCCAGATGCAGAGAATTCTGATTTTCCTTTCCCTTGGTTTTAGAATGGAGTTGGAGATAGGGTTTCTCACCTCTTTGCTCTGATGGGGGCCAGGGAGAAAAAGACAAGTAGCTGGGTTACTTAATTAGTTTACTTTCCGGGAAGAAAAGTCATTCCCAGCCACAGCCAGGTTACTCAGTCACTCATTTGAAGGGCGTGGGGAAGTAGAGCTTTGTTCCTGAAAATGTTGCCAGTGTTTTTCAGCCCTGAGGACTTCTTTCTTAATTTTGCTGTTAGCTTTTTTTTTTTAGGTTCCCAGAATGCATGGTCCTGAGCCCTAGCCACAGGCAGGACATAAACGTGAGTGGATTGCTATTGGAAAGTGGCCTTTCCAAACTGGGACAGGAATGACTAACTTACACCTACCCCACCGACCTTGGTGTTTTTTTTGTCTTTGGGAATTTTGTTTTCTGGGTTTTGTCCTTTGTTTTAGATTGATTTCTACTTTTATAGACATACACATATATAGTCTGAGTACACATGAGTACAGGTGCCCACAGATGCCAGAGGTATTGGATCACCTGGAGCTGGGGTTTCAAGGTGGTTGTGAACTGTCTGATATGTGTTCTTAAACCAGATATACTTGGTCTTTAATTGAAAACAGTACCAGGTAAGGTAGTTGGCAAATACTTACTAAAATATAGTCTAACTTCACCTAACCTGCCCACATTTGTGACACCAAAGACAAAACCACTGATACTGGGATCCTTCCTCCACATTAAGTTCCCAAGTTGAATTTACAGATCATGCCTATGTGCCCACCTTTTATACGTTCCTGAATGGTATGGCAGAAGCAAGCCATTCTAAAAGTGCCAAAGAAACCCATACCCTTAAAAACCTATAGTAGGCCGTGTTGACCTAGTTTAACACTTAATAGTCAAGGATTTTCTTTGCTCTCCTTGAAGAAAGGAGGGTGGCTACAATGTTAGCCCCCTCTTTAAGGAACAGCTGTCCAAAGAATATCAGAGATGTTCAAGAATATACAAGCAAATTCAAGGTTGAGTTGTGGTAGAGCATCAGGTGTTCTCTCCCAGTAGCCACAGTTAGCTGGCTGTGAGCTAACAAAGACTAGTGTGAGGTGCTCTAGCTACAGTGATTGAAGGTCTGTGGAACAGGGAGGAACTAGGCTGAGTCCTGAAGAGGCCCAGGTACTTCCAAGCTATTTGAATCACAATGACCTCAAGATGAAGTGAGGGCAGCTTAGCCATAATTGACCTACAGCCAGCAGGGTCCTTGCAACCATGCCTACTCAACAACATGAATTCCACACCTTCTTGCTTCCTGGAATACAGACCTGAGGAAGTTGACTTAGTTTCAGTGGAGCTTTAAGAGTCACCTAGAGCCCAAATTCAAACCTAGAGTTGGCTAGCATTCTAGGGCCCTGCCCTAAGGTGTCCTAGAAGAGCTTCTTTGTAGGGAGGCCACATCCCGTGTCCATCCTTTGTACTCTTGACATTCATTTTTGTAACTGATGCATATGTTCCTCCTTTCAGGACTCACTTGCCAAGTGTCTTTTTCACACCCTTCTTAGGCCACCACCTTTGAGCTCAGTGTTTGAGTCCAGAGGATACTTAGTGGTAGATCTGCCTACCTTCTCCCAGTCTCTTCTCAACAACCCTATGTCATTTTCTAAGAAGATACAGTTTGAGCCACTGTTAGGTCTGGGGCCTCTCTGGGGTTCATTGAACTTTTTCCAGAGAGCCAACATTCTGTTATCTACACCATTATTGGGTTGCATGTTGCAGAACAGAGAGTATAGCCAGGCTGTGTCGCCTCCATAAGCAATCCCAGTTTGTCCACATCAGCTAGCATGACGAGGGTGAACAGGGTAGTAGGAAGGACTGGGACAAACTGCCGCCTTTGGGTGGGGCTTAGGAGCTATAGACTGATCACAGGAAGGCTCCATGGAATCAGGGAGAGGGTGTAGCACAGTCTGCTATGGGGTGGAAGGAAAGGCTCGGGGGGTCTGACCTGGTGAGTGTGGCTCATTGTGGCGGCTGAGGTGTCTAAGTTCAATGTAGAAGTCCTCGGGCGGGTACCTGGCCTCCAGGGCACTGATCTGGAAATGGGAGTCTAGTGAGAGGAATGACAGGGAGGAGCCATTATTCCCAGGGCCTGGATGGCAGGGGAAGGGGGTGAGAAGCACAAGGTAGGGCAAGGGCAGGCCAGAAGGAATCAAGATCTCCATGTAGCATCCAAAGGGACTGGGGTTTTCTGTCCTCTCTTCCCCTCCCATTCCATTCCTCCCTCCACGGGGGCAGAGGGACAAAGCCTTGAAAAGTATCAGGCTGAGGATCCTTTTCTGCCTGTGGCAAATACTCTTTCTGCTCCTACCTGGAAATCTCACATTCCATCCCTGGTAGTCAGTGGGCTACAACCATGCACTCCCTGTACACCACAGGGAAAGCCATGCTCAGGACCCAACTCTCTTGCTTTGAGGTGGGGCAGCTCCCCTCAGTACAGAGATCAGGGTGGGACCGATGGGGAAGATGACTCAAACCACTACTGACCTAACACGTTCACATAGCTGTAGGGGGTCCAGCCTGTTGTGTCTCTGTCAAGGGACTTGTTACTGAGCTGTTTGAAGAGGAGAGCCAGTTAATACCTCACGTCTCAGGTGCCCTTCCCCAAGTTGGCACTTGACCCAGCCTCACTGTACCCATCCCTAAGATGCTCCTGAGCTCCCAGACCCTGGATGACTGAGTAAAGGAGGAACAGACAAATGTTATATGACAAGCTATCATGCTGTAGTTGAGGCCAATGAAAACAGCATATGCCCAAACCAAGTTCTTAGGCCCCTGTAGCATATGGAGTTATGTTATGCTGCAGGGGCAGGTCGGGGAGGAGGGGGAGGAGACAGTTTGTCACAGGGCATCCCCAGCACAGAGGTAGGAGCTGCCTGCAGTTCTTGCTCCTGGGCCATATATGAGAGTCTGATAAGACCAAGGGGAAGTTCCAGTCATGAGACTGATGCAGTCCTCTCCCTGCATTCTCTTAGCAGCCCTTTATGTGAGGAAAGGATGTTATTTCAGACGTGGGACCATACTCAGATACACAGAAGCCAAAGGCAAAGCTGGCCCTAGAATTCAGGTCTCAGTTGCCTATCCCCTCCACGACACTGTGCCTACCTTTGCTCCAGATGTTCTATCTCCCAGGAGGGGTTCTTGTCTACACAAGGCCAGTCTCAGCCTGTGATGGGAGCCAAACCAGTCCTCTACTGAAAGAGTAGCTGGCTCTTGCACAAAAAATGTTGTGGCCTGGAACCTCTATACCATCCCTGGCTTGTGCCTCTAGCCTGCTGCAGCTTTGATAACATGGCTGGAGTTAATCAAGGGCTGCCGGATGGGTAACCAAATTCTCTTCTCTCAGCTCCTCAAGCTAAAAGCTGAACTGAGCCTGCACACAAGAGCCTTGTTGGAAGATGACAGGCAGAGTCGCCAAAGCTATTGGGCTTCTGAGTAACCTGCATACAACTTGCCTTTTTCATAGAAAAGCAACCCCCAGGTCTGTGGGCTGGTGGTCATTCTTCAGCGGGCAGATGGGGAGGAAGGAATTCTGAGAGCTCCAGGGAAGAGGCCTAAAATATGAAAGTTGTGCCCCTGGCATGGGATAGATGATGGTACAGGAAGCCAGGTATTCTAGGATTGTCACCCCCCAAATGGTCCTGCCATTCTGAGTGTATGTGTGTGGCACGTGTTTAGGTAGGTGTCAGGTGTGTATAGCAAGAGCCCCTCACAAACCTTATCCTTGGGGCTGTTCATGGCTCAGCCTCTACACTGCCTCTTACTGGTCCATCATCAAGGGATGTACTACATGCTGTCTTGTCTATCTGTCTACATATACATACATATTTTATGAGAAATCTAAGGTTTGGAATATTTGTGACTAAAAACACCTATCCATTCTGTGACTTAGTGCTGTGCTTGGAGCTGTCAGGGAGAGCACACCACTGGTCCACCCCTTTTCAGCAAGAACACTAGCTAGCATTTGGGTTCCCATCTGATGTGTGTATAGATGACATGCATGCCCAAGTTTAAGAGGCATCAAGTAGTTAATTGAATAGTGAGTTACTTCAGAGTATATTGCTAACACACTAGTAATTTGTGGTAAGCATATACATTTTGAGTATATGTATTGGCACTTCCATGACCAAAGTGGTTACATGGTATACATGGGTGTGGGATAAGGTGGTTGCATGTGATGTTACTGTGTTCTGGTAGGTACTAGTTATCTATACACAAGGTGCAGGTAAGTTCCAATGAGTGGGCAGCATGATGTAGTTGCGTGGGATAGAGCCTGCTGTCTCCATAAAACATACTCTTTCCCAGTTTCATGATTCAGAGTGTTCTTATGTACCACAAGTCTTAGGATCGTTCTTAATGTAGAAGTTCCACACAGCCTCCATGTGGGGGTGCAGTTCCTTCCTGGGTAGAGGGGAGTGTTAAATGGAGAGGATTGTGGGTGAGGGCTGGGGAGCCAAGGGGCCAGTACCTTGGTGGGGCTGTTCCTGTCCAGAGTGCTGGCCTGGCTGGTGGCAGGCACCCCGCACGCCAGTGTGTGGTAGCTGGCATTGGAAAAGCACTGGGCATGACTGCTACTTTGAGACAAATCTGGGAAGAGAACAAGGAGCCATATTCCATCATACACCTGTCCTTGGTTGAGATGCCCCCAAAACTAATGCTGGGGCTGGGCATTTTTGAGTGTCCCCTGCAAAGACAGCCAAATCCCCCCACATCCTCCAAGCTACCTGGCATCTAGTAGCCCTAAAGCAAGCAGGAGAGCCAGCCATGTTTTCTTCTTACTAATGCCAGCCCCCTGTGTAGATCACAGACTAGGACTGCCAATATAGGGGTATCATGGTCAGCTGGAAGCTATTCACTGCTGACTCTGGCTTTATGTCTTTGAGTTTCTATTTTAGGTAGATTTACTTTCCCTTGCTTCCCCCTATGGTCAGACACTAGTAATAAGTACATAGAGAACTCCATTCTTATTGACCCTAGCTCTTCTGAAGTTTCTTCAGGACTGGGGAAAATCAGCCATTCCTGCTCATTGTCATTATAGAAGAAAACTGCCAAATCTCAATGGGCCTCGGCTTTCATCAGAGGATGTTGGCTTTGGCTGGACCCCAGAGGTCTCTGAAAGTAACGTCTCTACTGGGGCTAGCTGTCTGTCCTGTTCCTGGCATAGAGCTGGCACACAGCAGGAATGGCAGATGTGGTCTAGGTGCTCGTAAATTAAACACAAGGTATAGGAGACTATCGATCAGCTACAAGCCATTGGAAGGTCACTACCCTCTCCTCAACAGTGCAGGCCTAACCAACACCAGGGTATTTGGGAACCTTACTGGTTAGCTAAACATGAAGCAGAAAGCATTCTCTTCAAGGTATCAGTTCAGGGGAGAGAAAGGATCTGGTCAGTTCCATACATCCTCTCTCAGACTACCATAGGATGCCATATCTAAGCACACAGGGCTCTTCCCAAACTTGCAGACCTCTCCTAAGTGAGGCAACCCTTCCCCTGTTACTTCACTTCTGGAGTGCTCCTCAGGGATGGCCTGAGGTCCTCCCAGGGAAAGCAAAAGTCAGTAGGTGCTCAGGCTTCACACAGAGAACTATCCCCTCTGTTTCTTAGAAAAGTTGCTACTTACTATACATCTCTTATAGACACAGTCCGATGAGAAGGGTGGGGATGTGGGGTGTTGGCACCGAGCTTGGGCTCCAGGAAGCAACACCCTCCTGGAACTGCAGACTTCTCCAACCCCATTTTCTCTATGGGGTTACCATTCTCAGGCCCAGCTACCCACCCTGCAGGTATAAGGAACCACCCACGTTGAACCAAGAATATAGATGTTCCTGAGAAGACTGCAGGCCTCCTGCTGAGTTGTATAGGGGGAGGATAAATAACGGGGCATAGCCTGACCTGAGAGAGAGTAGTCTGTGCTGGTCATCCTCATGGCTGGGGTGTAGGAGACACGAGGAGCCAAGTCACGGCCTTTTTCTTTCTGCCGCCTCCGTCGCCAGGCAAACAGGCCCAGCAATACCACAACCAGGAACAACAGGAGGATGATGCCTGTGACAGCACCCACTGAGTGCCGCTCTGCTCCCAAAGCTGGACTGATCTTGGTGTAGGGATTCAGTTCATCCATCATGAGGGCAGCTGTGGGCAGAGGGAGGCCTGAGCCAGAGACGGGCCTGATTCCAGTTTACTCCCTGACTTTGCCCCTTCACCCCCGCCTAATCTCAACCCTCACAGTGCCCACATTTCTTGTAGTGCCAGAAAGATCAAGTCCCAGGGTCACAAGAAAAAAACGTAATTTAAGTGTGAAGCAAAATAAATGCTTACTGAATATTTACTCAAGTACACACATGGATTAAAGTTATTTTATCATTGTGTCAAGTCTACAAAAAAGGAATTATTTACCTTTTCCACACAGTTGAAAAAATAAACTGAGTCACCAAGGTTAGGTAACTTGTCTAAGTTCACCCAACCAGTAACTTAGTCAGGAAAAACTGGCTTCAGCTATTCTTCCTGCTTCCCAGCTATGTGATTAAAATTACCATGGGAACAGTAACCCCAATGTCCCCAGGGAGTCATAAGCACCAAATGATAGACTGGCCTTGACAGCTGGGAGCTCTGTGACTGCCTGTTACTGCCCCAAGACACAACTCTTGATTATACATGTGTGGTTGGGTCCCTGAGACTGCTTTGGTGAGGGTTTCTTCTCCAGCTGGGCAGCATCTGGACCTCTCCCTGGCTCTCTGCCGCTGCCTGGAGAGAGCTGACTATCACTCTAGGGAGGAAAATGCTGCATTTTTGCCTCAACTGCGTGGCTTCAGACTGCCAAGTAAGTTTGTCTGACATGGGTAATTGAGCCTGTTTTCTGCTCCCATCTTCTAGAACCTACAATAACCTCCCAAGCCTACAAAACTTTACAAAGAGATTTTTACATGCACAAAGCCACCATTTACAGAGTGCACATATGTGCCAGGTGTGCGTGCGCCAAGGCCTTCCTTGATCCCCTCAGATGTACCGTGGATGTTGCCAAGGTGTAGATCTAGAGTTCAGTTGAGCCCTTTGGACAAAGGTTAACATCTCCTCAATTGAATGTGGAGTAAAAGGCCCAGCAAAGGAAATGACCTGCCCAGAGACACCTAGCAGGGAGTGGCAGAAGTCAAACCTGGCACGTTCCAGTTTAGCCAGATTGGCCTTCCCAGCACTAGCCCACGGGGAACTCCCAGAGGATATGCATGGAGAAGCTGTGAGGTGAGGCTCCCAACTATGAATAAAAGGTAGCGTCATAAACCTCAACTGGTCTGGTTAGAACTCCGAAGCCACCAATGATTTTGGGCCCTTTCCACCTCTGTCCAGACATTCTGCCACCTGTATGTTACCTTGGTCACACCTGATTCCTTTGAATCCGGGGCTGCAGTAACAGGTACCAGTGACATGGTCACAAGTGGCATTGTTCATGCACTCACATAGCTGCTGACACCCATATCCAAAGGTTCCGGGGGCACATCCTATATGGTATGCAGAGTGCAAGTAAACAGTGAGACACAGCCACACTCACGCCCCTCCCACTCCAGGTGGGAAAGCCCGTGGCAACAGGACAATTGTATCCCACCCTCAATGAAGCCTTTTGAACTGGAGTGCCTGTTGTGTATCACCCTGAGTCAGGGCATGTGGGCACAGGAGCAGGCAGCCTCACCTGCCTCTCCCTCCTGAACTCATTTAAAGAACCAGAAAATCCTGCCTACCACACCCTTGCCCTGTCTGAAGTGGCGAGAGATACTGTGACCATGAGTGTGTAGGGTTAACCTTAAGTCTTTCTCAGAAGTTGTCCTCAAAGTCTAAAGTTCAGGAGCTGAGGTATCCTGGATGGGAGTGGGGGTTGAAGGAAGCAGCTTCCCCTGCAATAGGCAGAAGCCCAGCCCAAATACCAGGAAAAGGGTTGGGGCTGCTTACTCTGTTCACAGTGGCGCCCGGTGAAGCCTGTTCGACAGGTGCATTTCCCAGTGATGTGGTCACAGCTGGCTCCATTCTGACACTGGCATATGTGCCCACAATCCTTCCCAAAAAATGCTGCAGGGCAACCTGCAATAAGACCACAGATCACAGTGGCCATGGACTCAGGGAAACTGCAGAGATGTTGCTGGGACCAGACTTGTCTGCTGCTCCCTCCGCAGCACAGGATAAAGGCTAGTGAGCCCCTCAGAGCCATCGGTACCCACTGAATCTTGGTCTAAAGGGGTGGAGGATAGGGGCAAGGTAATCCATGCAGCTAGGGCCTCAGCAGCAGAGGAACACGCTCTGGTCTCTTGGTTGTATAACCCTGAGATTTCTTCCCCATGGTCCAAGGGCCTGATCTTGTTGATTGTTGGGGTACCCTATAGCCTTGACCTTTCAAGACTTTGGATGATCCTGAGGTATGATTGGTCCTGGGACCAGCCTCTTCCCCCCTCCCCTCTTTACAAGCCAAGACTATTCACAAAGTGACCAGTAGGCCGCAGCATATGACTGGGAGTGGCTAGTAGGCTGGGAGGCAGGGCTTACGCTGCGTGCAGAAGAGTCCAGTCCAGCCAGGGGTGCAGTGGCAGGCCCCATCCTCGGCGCTGCAGCTCGCCCCGTTGTGGCAGCTGCATGTATGGAAGCAGGCAGAGCCCCAGAACCCAGATGGGCAGGCTGTGGGGGGTGGATGGGATGCAGAGGGGGAGGGCAGAGAGGAGCAGGAGGGAAGGGGGGAGGCGAGTACATGTCAGAGCCAGGACACCTGATGGACCCAGAGGGGCATCTTTCTTGGCCTTCGGGACTTGCTGCGCTATTCTCAGAATCCCTCAGGTCACCTCTTGGCCTCATCCACTAGGATTGCTATGAGGCCCAGATTCTTGTCTACTCAATCTTGGGTGATTAAAGCAGCCTTGCACCTCCATTTTTAGGGGGACTGACAGGGATAGAGGTGAAGTACCACTGGGGATACTGACTTCTCCACAAGTGGCAGGGACTGTCTCCTCTTTGGGTTCTTGTGATGTTTAAGGATGGAACCTGTGTCTCCCACCAGAATGGAACTGCGCTAAGTCTAACCATTTAACTGGGACCTCCTTACAGATACTGGTTTTGTCTTACACATCAGACAGGGAGCTCCATAGGCCAAGGGCTGGGACCCCTTTGTATCAGGCTGTTACATCCTGTTCAGGCTTAGGATGCTTAGGACATTATTCATAGGGGGATCCATCCTGCAAGGTGCTCCCATTTTTCTAGGGGTGGCTGCCCTAGCCTAGTCACTCACAAACTCCAACATGCCAGCCTTGTTCCCTCCTCCCCATCTCTATGCTCCTTCTACACACAGATGCTAATGGAGTGTGAATTCTTAGGATTCTTGGCATTGATGGCACTGACAATACTGATGCCTTTAATATCTGCAGTAACAATATCCATGGTCAGTACCAGTAACTCAACAAGTTCACTGTTTCGCTAAATGGGACTTTCAGGGTCGGGGACAGTGACTTGGCTCAATGGGTAAAGGCACTTACTACCCAAACCTGGTGAGCCTGAGTTTGATCCCTGGGACCCATATAAAAGTGGAAGAAGAGAAGTGATGCTATAGAGCTGGCCTCTCACCTCCACATACATGCTGTGGCACTTGGACACACACCATACACACAGAAATAATGCAAATAAATAAATGGGTCTTGGGTAGATGTTCTTGTCTCCAGGAGAGTTCAGCCCTGTGGGTGGAGGCACCATGACAGAGAGAGGAACAGTTGTGGGGTCACAGCTTACCCTGTGAGCAGTCCTTGCCGATCCACCCAGGGAAGCACTGACAGGAGCCGTCGATGGGGCTGCAGGTCCCATTGTTGGCACAGGAACAGAGCTGGGCACAATCCTGCCCAAAGTGCCCTCCGGCACACACTGTGGGCACAGGGAAGCCTGGCATCTGCCTTCTTTCCCAGGCTCTAAGAGCCACCACCCACACAGCTGTACCCCAAGTGGTTCCTAGGCCACAGCCATGACCTGGGAATGATCTGGAGGAGAACAATAGCTACAGTGGCAGATGGTCCTCCATCACATAGAGTGAGTGTCCCTTGTCCTACAGCAGCACCTCAAGAGGCTCTGTTCTGATTACTTTGACAGGGACAGGTTGAGGCACACAGGGGAGACAACTTGTCCTGGGTCTCACAGATAGAAAGTGGTAAGATGGGGTGGCATCTCTGGACTCTTAGTCCAGTGCTCCTACACTACCTCCCTGGTTTATCCTTGACTGCCCTCCTAGACACATGGGTTACTGGACCACACACCTCCTTCTAAGGGTATCCAGGCCTTTTTGCTGTGCTTTTCCTATGACTAGTGCCTTCTAAATTCCTCTGACCCTCAAGTCCCACTATGGATGTTCTGCCTATAGGACTCACCTACCTGGAACAAAAAGATGGAGCAAGCCTTAAAATACTGACATCCTTGTCAGCTACCTTGGTGTTCCCCAGCAGCCTGCTTTTGGATCTTTCTGGTTTTCATTAGCACAACAATGTATATCCTTTCCAAGTCACTTGGGGTTTTTATTGTGTTTGATCTTCCTCCCTAGCTGGTTCACCTATCTTCTCCCTTCTGGGTGGCTGTGTCCCTATTTGAGGCTGCAAGTAGCTTCTTCCTTGAACATTCTTATTACTGAGACTTAACAGCTGTTTCAGGCCAAGCCTGAGTCCTTCCCTTCCTGGTGTCCCCTACAATGCTTGGAGAGACAGCAGACATTCAGGCCACCAGGACCAAACATCACCCTTCTCCCACCTCTCTCCCTGGTCCCCTGGCCTAAACTTTGCAAGGGTAGACAATGTGGTCTCATTTTCTATTGTATCTGACTGTCCAGTGAACACTGAGGAAATAGGCCTTGGGAGTCTTAGCATTCTAGAAGGTTCTACTACTTTGATCATCAGAGGACCAGGAATAGATTTTGTAAATATTTATATGTATCTGTGTGCAGGCATGTGCACATGCGAACAGGTGCCTGTGGCGGCCAGAAGAGGACTTCAGAAACCTTGGAGGTAAAGTTAGAGGCAATTGTAAGCTGCCTGACATGCGTCCTAGAAAGTGAACTCAGATCCTCTGCAAGAGCAGCTAGCCTTCTTACCCATTGAGCCATCTTTTCGGCTCCCATGGAATAGGTATTGATTTCTTGGAGGAAAGTAGCTTCCTTTGACTTAGGTCTCAAACCAGGGAAGCCATCACTTCCCTTCCTCCACTCTGCCTCCCATTGCCAGCTCTTCCCTAGCCTGACTGTGGGCCCCAGATAGCCAGAATGTGCATATAGTCTCTACCTCTGTGAACATGGCTCGTGGTTGGGGCAGATGATAAAGGCAGGTGGACCCGACTCTGCCTGAGGCTTTGGATTTGGGTCCTCGATTTGTTATGCCTTCAGCAAACACATGACATTTGCATTTACACCAGAAACTGATCAAAATGTCTCACCAAGACTAATATTACTTTCACTTAATCTTGACAATGTCTTCATCATTGCTCCCTATCACTGAATCCCCCTGACACATAGGGAGAGGTTTAAGCTGTCTGCCTGAGGTTACACAGCAAAGAAATTCTACTATTTCTTCGCTGAGGACAGTTTAACAAAGCCCTTCATGTCTCACCCCACCCCCTAGATCTGTTTCCTCATCAAAACAGGGACAGGAGTCCCCACTCAGGCTTCCATAGCTGCAGGTAGGCGGTTGATCGGTTGATCAGAGGCTCTGTGCTACCCTTCCCAGGCGAGTCTGCCCTGTTTGCTGCTCAGGCTCCACCCTCTGCTTCCGAAACTGCCTGTTGCTCCACCTCCTCCCTGTCTCTGGGAAATGCTTTATTCTGAGGATCCAGTTTGAGCCCCATCATTCCTTGTACCCCCCCTGTGTTGGCTGAGGCAAAGGGCTATCTACCAGCTTGGTGGGGAGTAGGTGCTGGAGCTGATCACCAGTTTTCACCCTACAACTAAACTGCTCTAACAAGGCAATCTTCCCTTTGAAGTCTTCCCCCTACACAAGGCGGACAAATTCACCCGCAGAGCCGCTAATGTGATCAGTCTAACGCATTAATTGCAAGACTTCTTAGCTGAATCAAGAGTCAGGCATGGGAAGGGAAGGAGGGGGCCAGTGAAAAGAAAACATTGGGTTATATTTAATCTATGTTTAATGATTCTGGGGAAGCACTGTCCATAATTTGTAACTCACTGGAAAGCCAGTCATTAGAAAGTGTCAGTTCAATTTTTTACAAGGTTTGAGACGTAACCAGAGCAGTTGCCATTAATAGCCAACTCCATTAGATCTATATGTGGAAAAGACTCATTAGGCCAGCGGGTAATAAATCAGACGGCATGGGCTGCAAGGGTTCCTTCTTGGGCTTCGGAGCTCCTAATTTAGACGGGGCCTGGTTCTATTGACGGCTGGGTCTCCTATGTTTAATAAATAAACCTCAGCCTGTCAGGTGGTGATTAAACCATCCTAGGAGGGTTACAAGCAAATGAAACTGTCACATATGTTTCCCTGGGGTCCAAACTTCTTATGACCTCAACACATCATGGAGTCAAACTTCCATTCGCGCATATTAAAAATAGCCCAGCTCAGCGGTGATGATGTATCAAAAGAATGGTTTCCCCTGGAGGTGGTGAGCTCTTCATCAAGAGAAAGAAGTGTTTAAGCACAGGCCAGGTGAGGTTCTTGCCTAGGTGACTTTGAAGTTGCCTTTAGCTCTAAGTTCACATTATTCTCAAATGTCTTCACTCTCACTGACTATAGTGTAAATTCTGCAAGCTAGTGTTTAAGCAAAGCCATGTCCTAAGCCATTCTAAGTAATCCCGAGCCTGCCTTCCTAGCCCACTCCCCATCTCTAGTTGCTGCATCTTCCGCCCATTCCCTGCTGCTGTAGACTAACAGGCCCAGGTTCTGTTATCCCAAAGTCCTGCAGAATCCCTGGGCCCTCTCCAACTGTCCCACTGCCCTAGGCTTCAGACGCCTCCCAGGGAGCTGTGGATGGTAGATGCTGGGGCCAGCTCTTATCTTCCCATGCTGGCTAATGTGGAGGGATTTTTGACAATAGTGTTGGAATTTGCCATAGCAGAAATGTTTATGTCATGGAACCCTGTAAATGCTGCAAGTGAGGTGCCCTCAGAAAACTAGCTCGTTGGGGGAGTATGCTACAATAAACTTCCTTGCCCCTTTAGCACTGCCTATACAGTATGCTGGAGGCCTGGAGTTGACACTGGGGAAGATTCTGGGGTTGAGCTGGGAAGTGTGTGGGGCCAGGGATTAGTGCTGTTGACCTGAGGGGGATAGGAGCCAATGACAGACTGGGCTCTTCTGTGCCCTCACAAAATCTCTGCCTTTACTACTTGGCATTCCACACAGCCCTAGCTCAGGGCCACTCTGGTTGTACCAATGCTCAGTTCATGCTCCTACCTTTTGTTTGCTTGTTATGTATTTGGAGACAGGGTCTCATGTAGCCCAGGTTATCCCCATGCTCTCTATGTAGCTAAGGATTACCTTGGACTTCTCCATCCTTCTGCCTCTACTTCCTGAATGCTGGGCTTATGGATAGATGACACCACACCCAGCTTATGTAGTGCTTGAGATGGATCACATGCACTCTAGACAAGCATTCTTCCAACTGTGCATAGGCCTGGTTTTGGTTTTCTGAGGCAGGTTAAGTAGCCCAGGCCATCCCTGCATACGTAATCCTCTGTCTCAGCCTCCCAAGTTCTGGGATCACATGGGTATATACTACCATGCCTGGCTTGTCTTCCGCCTTTCTTTTTATTAGAATACTGGAGTCTGCATTTGTTTCTGCCACTCGCTAGCTGCGAGACCATAGACATGGCATTTAGCTTCTTTGAGCCCGTGCCTTTCGCGGCACAGTTACTTCTCCTCATTTCACATATGTGCCGCTCAGTTCCCAACAGTGTAGGAAGAGAACCCCTGGACCCTCCCTTCTTTCTGCCCCTTGGTTCCCTGCCCTGGCCTTCCCACCACTTGAGGGTACCTTGGTTGCACAAGGCTCCAGAGAATCCTGGCAGGCACTCACAGATGCCACTGACATGGTGGCAGGGGCCGTTGCTGTGCACGCAGAGAGGACAAGACTGGGTGCAGCCATAGCCGTAGAACCCTGGTGGGCAGACTGAGGGTGTTGGAGAGGAGATGGTGGTTAAAGCTTGTAGGGAACAACTGGCCTAGTCACCTCTTTGGTCCCCCATCCCAGTGAAGCGAGACTCCTTAAAAATAGGGAGTCTGAGGAAGACATCAACATCAATCTGTGGCTTCTACACATGGTGTGGACACATACACAGCAAATAAAATAAAAATGTTTGATGTAAAAAAAAAAATAGGGAGTCTGGGATCCCCACACCTGGAGGTCCATATCTTTTGAAGAGAGGAACTGGTGGCTACTCCTGATTCTACCGAGAGGCTGAGCCCTGAACTTGGGGACAGAACAGCCAGTATAGGGGAGGAAGGCACAAAATGGGGAGCGGCCTGGCTCCCAGAGGCCAGCCTTCTACAGTCTAGCACTGCTTCTGACTGGGAGGCGCTGAGTGGATGGGAAATCAGAAATCCTTGAGTTGGGGGCCTAGCCTTACTTCTCTGACATAAGGGTCCTCGGAAGCCAGGGGCACACTCGCAGCTCCCGTCCTCTGGAGAACAGGAGCCTCCGTTCTCACAGCTGCAGGGCACTGAGCAGTTGGGGCCCCAGCGACCTGGGGGGCACGTGCTGTCACAGCGGATGCCTGTGAACCAAACACAGAGGCAGATCAGCAGTAGGGGATGAGGGCAGGAGGGAGATGGAGGGAAACCCAGTGGAAGTGGGGATGACGGGGAGGGCTTCTGAGAGGAGACGATGCCCTTCCAGAGTCCTCAGAAATGAAAGGAACTGGCCAGGCACAGGCAGTCACTTTGAGCGACAACAGAAGGCTGGATAGCTTGGACTTGAACACGGCACAATGGCAGACCCCTGGCAGGCTCGATGAGCCCAACAAGAGAGGAGCTGGTGGCACCAGATAAAGAAGGCTGCCTCCACCTTCACAGCTAAGCTGGCATCAAGGGCATGTCGGGCCAGTGAGATGGCTCATCTCAGATCAGAGTTCTTGGTGCGAAAGCCTGGTGGCCTGAGTTCCATTTCTGAAATCCATATAAAAATATAAGGAGAGATTCTAAAGTTGGCCTCTGACCTCCGCTGTGGCACAAGCAACCCCACTCTATCATACTGATGCAGTCATTCATGATCTCTATCAAATTTACTCTTAATTTAAAAAGAAATACAAGGTCATCCTCAGCTGTGTAGAAAGTTCAAGGCCAGCCAGGGCTGTATGAGAGAAATAGAAAATATGTGTATGCATATACACACTTTATAACACATAATCACATATATAAAAGCAACCAAAACTGCTTGCTGTACCTCAAACATGCTGATAACTGACCCTTGATTTGAAAAACAGCAACCTAAGGGGAAATGGATGGAATAGCCCAGTAAAAAAGGGAGCAAGATCTACAGTCCCTCTGAGCTCAAAGAATATTTGAGCTGGGCTGATTTCAGCCTGGAGGCTAAGGAGGAATTTTAAAAAGCCAGGGTGGGGATTCCTTCCAGGCAGAGTGGCTTCCTGATGCAAGTGTGCTAGGTGATTGGAGCAGGCCCAGGGGACCAGCCAGTCTTTGGAAGGTGAGCTTCAAGAGGCTCCAGGCAGCGCAGGGTTAGTCTAAAAGTCAAGTCTGCCTTGTTAGAAGGACAGGGACTAAGAAAGAGCAACAGGAGGGAAGAAGATCCAGCAAACAGTCAAGACTTTGAGGCTCTCCCGGCCTACCTGAAGGAGAGGGAGGGAACATGGGTGAGTCAGTCAGGGTGGCGAGACAGGGAGGGGTGCTGCTGGCCTCCTCCCCCACTGCTGGGAATAACCTCCCTTCTTGTGCCTTGCCTTGCATTTTGACCTGCTGCGGGGTATGGAGGGTTTCAGGTATCACTTCCTGAAAAATGGGGTAGTGGCTTCTCGCCAGAGAGCATGTGGCAGGTGCGTCATTTTCCCCACTCCCTTGCTGATAGTTTCTCCCGTGGAGTTTCGGGGGGTTGAAAGGCAGACCGGGGAATGTGGGGTGATTATAATTGAAGCTTGGGAAAGGTTTAAAGCAGTTTAAAGATTTTGAGTACCTCTTCCAGTCTCCCCTTTATAGCTGTGGTTGACCCTCTGTATTCATGAAAGAAACCAATATCCAAGGATGATCATATAATCTATGCAGCCACCTGTACATGTTCATGTTGTTCATGAGATGGCTCAAACTTGCTAAGTAGCCAAGGATGACTTTGGTCGTCTGAAACTTCAGCATTACAAAGACACCAGACTGGGCTAAATAGTAAGTTCCGGACTGGACATCGCTACACAATGAGATCGATCTATCTTTAATAAAATGCATAAAGTTTACTTTGACCCAGGTGTTTGGAATGACCAAGTGATGGAAATAAGGCAGAAAAGAGGAGCTGGGCAGGCCCACATCACAGGGGGCAGGGCCTTATGACAAGAATTCTCATGTAGCCCAGGCTAGCCTTAAACTTGCTATGTGGCCAAGGATGATCTTGAACTTCTGCTCCCCTGCCTCTCTCTCCTGAGTGCTGGGTTTATAAGTGTGGACCACTGTGCCTGGCCAGGATCTTTTACATCAGTTCCATCAAATCACGAAGAGAAAGACTGGTTTGGAGGTTCCCTCTGTTCACTATGTGCAGAGTGGGTTCACCTGGGCAAGATGGAAGGCCTGAGACCGGCCAGGAGGCCTTCTAATTAACCTTGTCTCTATTAACCTTTTGTGACAAAACAACGAAAACAGCCTGAGCTTCTCTACCATATTCTCCGCAGACTCCTTATCTGCCCCACTTCTAGTCCTAACAACCTGACTACTTCCACTAATACTCCTGGCCAGCCAAAATCATATCAAAAAAGAGCCCGAACACAACAAAAAACTATATATTTCCCTACTAGTGTGCCTCCTGAGATTCTGTTTTGTTGTTGTTGTTGTTTATTTTTTTCTCCTTCAAGACAGGGTTTCTCTGTAGCTTTGGAGCCTGTCCTGGAACTAGCTCTTATAGACCAGGCTGGCCTCGAACTCACAGAGATCCGCCTGCCTCTGCCTCCCAAGTGCTGGGATTAAAGGTGTGCGCCACCACTGCCCGGCAGAACTGAGGTTCTGAAGTGCCATGCTCTCTATACACAGGCTGAGTACCTGTTGGCCCTGAAATGAACACATGTCCTGAGAACAAAGTCTCAGTATCATATGTTTTAAATAAACATCTCTGTGCTGGGCTGAAAGGGAGCAGGTGAGGGCAGGAAGAAACTGACCAAGTGATGGAAATAGGGCAGAAAAGAGGAGCTGGGCAGGCCCACATCACAGGAGGTGGGGCTTTATGACAAGAATTCTCATGTAGCCCAGGCTAGCCTTAAACTTGCTATGTGGCCAAGGATGATCTTGAACTTCTGCTCCCCCGCCTCTCTCTCCTGAGTGCTGGGTTTATAAGTGTGGACCACTGTGCCTGGCCAGGATCTTTTACATCAGTTCCATCAAATCACGAATGGTCAAATCATCAAAGGTCGTGATGAGTCATCACGAGGAGGGAAGGAAAACCAAGAACCTGGGCAGTGGCAGGGCAGAGGTTACCTGTCCATCCTGCTAGGCAGCAGCAGTGGCCTGTGACAGGGTCACAGCCATCAGCATGGCTGCAATCACAATGCTCGCTACAGTTCAGCCCGAACGTGCCAGCCTGTGGGGAAGAGGGAGAGAAAAATACAATCATACCTCGGCCCCTAGAGGTCCGCACACTTCCATCAGCTCTTACGGGGTCCAGAGGGGAGACTAGGACACAGTGAGGCTTTGTGAGTGGGTGTCAGCGGGGCTGTGAAAACGTCTCTGCAAATGATCACCTGGTTAAATTATAGGAATAGGAGAGACGGAAGTGATGATCACCTTCAGGTGATCATTCAAATTATAGATTAAAATGCACTTGGTTGTTGACAGGAGTGGTGGGAAAAGACTGCCTGTAACTCCAGCAATCAGGAGGTGGAGGCAGAAGGATTGCCATGAGTTCAAGAGATCCTCTCTCACAAAACAAAGCATATTTTGTTAATTGTGACACGCCTGTTCCACACGCAGACCGAGGATTGCCTATCTTGTCACTGGGGAAAGAAACGCATGCCCACGAGGTCTCAAGTGCCCCCCACCCCACCCCACCCCACCACCCGTCCTGTTCTCTTAATTCTCACATCAGTATTCTAGGATGGCTCCACTCAGTCTCACTTGAAAAATGGGAAGCAGCTGGAGAAGCACACTCAAGGAGGCAGGGGAAACCCACACTCAGTCTCATCAGTTGGTCTAGCAGCCTCAGGCTCAGTGATTGAGCTGGGGTTGCCGCTGAATGGCTTGGTTCCATGCCCCATCCCTAGTAGTTACAACTCAAATGCTACCTGGAAAGAGCCATTCTGCTGTTTGGGGGTTGGGGGGGGGGGCTGGGAGTGCCCTGGTGGGGTCGATTCTGTAGCTGCCAGTCAATCTGTTCAGCAGAGCAGCAACGGGAACCGCATTTCTGTCTAAGTGGCCATTTTATAGATGGGAAGGTTGAGGCCCAGGGTAGGAAGAGGCCACACAGGTTAACACTTCCTGACTCAGAGCTCTTCTCTATGGACCATGTAGCCCCCCTTCTCCGGAGAAGGACCAAGGGACCAAGGTGGGTACTCACTGGGCAGGGCTGTTCACAGGAGTCCCCCAGCCAACCTGGGGTACAGGCGCAGGAGCCGTCAGAAGGGCTGCAGGCTGCCCCATTGGCACAGACACAAGTCTCATTGCAGTTCAGGCCCCATGTCCCACTGGGACATGGCAGGGAGCAGTCCGGGCCCTGCCACCCTGGGGAGAGGGCAAAAGGTATCACCTCGTCATGCCCAGCACAGGCAGGAGTCCTGTCGTCACGGCTGCCTAGATCGCCCTCCCTGACACAGGGTTCACGCCATTTCTGCTGCCTGGAATGGGCCCACTGGGCCAGGGCACTGGCCTTTGCGGTGTCCCCCTCCCCGGCCATGGGTGGGGTTCAGCAACATTTCTCCATTCTGAAGTCTTTCACTGCTTCTGCCTCCAGAACTGAACCCCTCCCTCCTATGTTCCCTCAAGCAGGAGGCTACCCCTCAGGGAATGCAGAACCCTGCTTCCCAGTGCTGCCTCCAGGCAGGCTTCCTGAGGGAGACCTGCCCCCAAGACCAGAGTGGGGAAGGAGCCAGGTGCACCTTTCTCCTTGCCTCAGGCTGGACCTTCCTAAGCTTTTTCAGAGAGCACTTTTTTCTGTAGCCCAGGCTAATCCAGAACTACAGTTTCTCCCACTTCTGCATCCCACGCGCTGGTATGACAGGTGTGACCAGCATTCCCTGCGTGGGCAGGCCTTTGACAGTGGCCGTGTCTCTGTGGACCTCCAGCATCTCCACAAAGCCCTTTCAGTTCCCACCGGGCAAGTCTCTTGTCCAGGCTCAGGGAACTCGGTCTCCCCATTCTGTCCCAGCAGCCCATGTGGCTCGCTTTCTCTCTCCGTGCTCTCAGCAACTCCAAACCCAGGAGACTCTCCTACACTCCTGTTCTCCTGGTTCCAGCTGTGGCTCTCCTGGGCTGGAATCTGACCTGCACAGACCCTTTGACCCTAAGTGGTGCCCTGCCTGTGACCCTCAGCTGTTGGCACACCTGAGCCTGGGGATAGATCGGAAGGGAAACTTACCCTCTTGGCAAGTGCAGGAGCCATCCACAGGGGAACAGGTGCCGCCATTGCTACAGCTGCATACAGATGAGCAGTTGGGACCATAGGTCCCAGCAGCGCAGGGAATGGCACACACTTCTCCCTGCACAAAGAGGGCCTGGGTGTGAGATGAGGTTCCCAGTCTGGGTGGCTACGGAGGCAGCGTAGTGCCCCTCCCAATGCCTATGCTCTCATTCCCAACACCTACTCTTCTTTACAACAGGGTCTCACTGCATAGCCAGGGCTGCACTCAAACACAGAGATCTGCTTGCTTCTGCTTGAAAATTGGTGGGGGTAATTGGGGGTGGGATGAGGTTGGGGATGTTAAAAGCGTGTACCACCTTACCTGGTTGCTTCTGTTATATGGCAAAAGGAACTTTGCAGATGTGACAGAGGACCTCGAGACAGGGAAACTAAGGTACTTGGATCATGGAAGCGGGCCTCATATCTTAGAGTCTTTAAATCAAGCGATTAGAGAGGGTAGGTCAGAGGCACATACCCTAAATCCTCCCCCAAACAATAAAGATGCTGAGTTTTCTACAGCCAGCAAGAGAATGGAGACCTTGACCCGACAGTCGCAGGACCAGATTGCCCGACAACTGGAAATGAACAAGCAGGAAACTGATCTTCCTCTAGAGCCCCAGGAGGCACTGCTGGCTCTGGGATTTCAAGTGGAGGCAGGTGCTTGAACTGGAAGAGAAGCCAGTGCTGGTTTAGGCCAGCACACAGGTGGGGATTCCTGCAGCAATTCTCTCCAGGTGGAGGGGGTCCCAGGCTCGAGACCAGAGCTCTAGGATGGGCAAAGTCCCTGGGAACATCACCCTAGGTGTCTGTGTTAGGTCTCAGCAACACAGCTTGTAACCTGGTACTGCCTATCAGTGGAACTGTCGGGAATGAGGGGGTTGAGAATCAGAAGGGTTGGGGTATGTGACAGGGTCTCTCGTATTACAGACTGGCCTCAAACACCTTGTAGCTGAGGATGACCTTGAACTTCGATCCTTCTGCCTCCACCTCCAGTTTGCTGAGATTACAGGCCAGTGCCAAATAAGATTTCAATCTGTTTTAGTTCTCACCAGCAAGGTACATGGAAGAGATAGCCAGTCCCCACTTGTCAGTGCTTCAGAGGTCAGAGGGCACCAACAGTGGCTTTTGAGTGCTCTTTGGGGATCACGCATGGTCTCCTTTAATTCTTACCACACCTCAGACACACAAACTATTGCTTCCTATTCTTCCCATGACAACAAAAGCAGTTACCTGAGAAAGTTATGTAATGACCCAGACCACAGAGCTCAAAATAGCAGAGGTCTCTTTGTTCCCAGCCTGGCTACTTAACCACATCACTTGGTGTGAATTAGCCTCTCTGGGGGCCGTTTTGGGACACGGGATACCAAGCTAAGACAACCCTAGGTGGAGTCAGGATAGATGACTAGGCGGACAGAAGGTAACCAAAGAGACCGCTGCATGGATGGATGGCCTTCCCCCAGCTGTCAGCAAGCTCAGGGGATGAAAGGACCTAGAGGACCTGGGAGGAGTGGACATTGCATCTCTGTCAGTCATGAACCGTTTGCAGTCCAAGGATGGCAGGGCTCCTAGGAGAGCTGACTGTCTTTAAGGCCAGATTCTAAAGCAGGGCTCAGCAGAGGGCCAAGGATTTCTAGCAACAGGCTGGAATGAGTGCCTCCGCCCCACGGGTGGCACAACACAGGGTATTGGCTGTGATGGTAGCTCCTGGGGTGGGGGAGGTAAGAGATCAAGGTACAGGGCAGAGGCTGGCAGTGAGAACCTCTGAGTCTTGAGGGGGCAATGAAGGCTGCCCAGGATACAGCTTGATGTGGGCAAGACAACGTAGCAGCACGGGCTGGGATGAGAGTGTTTACCTTGCATTCATTAGGCCTGGGGTTCGATCCCCCCATAAAGTGGGTATGGTGGTACACACCTGGGATCCCAGCACTTGTGAGGCCTGAGGATCAGAAGATCAAGGTCATCCTTAACTACGTAGTGAGTTCAAGGCCAGCCTGGGTCACAGGAGAACCTGTCTCTACATCTGTAACAGACCCCAGACCTTAGCACAACTGATGCCATGATGGAAGTGCCATTCAGGCTGTAAAACTCAGTATGAAGACAGAACCACCTGCCAAAACTAAAACAAAGAAAACCCATTAATGTCCATAGTTATGGGGACAGCTCTAAATGTATTAACCTCGCTCTTTGGCTTTGTGGTTCCGCTTCTAGCTAACTGTTCTTGTTAACTGGAGTATGTCAACCCAGATCATGGTTTTTTGAGCTTAAAAGCTCACCCTGAGAAAGGCTTGGGGCTACACTGGGTTCTCAAACATCCAGTGTAGTCGTCACCGGCCAGCTAATAAAGGCTTTCCGTTGGCTTAAACCCATGGCGGAGCAGTCTTCTCTGGTGGATACCCCACAACGTTTCAAGAAATGAAACAAAATAAACAAAATGTGTGGAAGGGGACAGGAAAGATGGCTTAGTAGTAAACCATGCTTGCAGCTCTTCCAAAGGACCCGAGTTCTGTTCCCACCACCCACATCGAACATCTCAAACCACCTGTAACTTGAGCTTCAAGGCATCTGATGACATCTCTGGCCTCTGCAGCACCTGCACACATGTGGCATATACTCACACAGATACACACACATAAATAAAAATAATTCTTTTTCAAGATAGGGTTTCTCTGTGTAACCCTGACTATGCTGGCACTCACCCTGTAGATGAGGCTGGCCTTGAATTCAGAGATCTGCCTTCCTCTGCCTCTCAAGTGCTAGGATTAAAGATTTGTGCTACCACTGCCTGGCAAGAAAAATAAATTTTAAAAGCCTTTAATTAAATAATAATAATAACAATAATGAGGAATGGGGATATGGCTCTGTGACTGAATATTTTGTCTAGCATGTGCAAGGCAAATTTGTTCACTTTTGTGGAACTGTTTATCTACTTTGAAGAATCAATTTGATTGTATTCAAGGCTAGACCTTCAGTGTTTGGAACTCTGCCAAGTCATGGCCCTGGATAAATGTACAATTGATCCAGGTGGATTGTGTGTACACACTGGCTTCTACTGTGGGCAGAACCAGACAGCCAAGGCTCTTTCCCCATGCTTGCTCAGGTCAGCAAGTCTACAAATGTTTGCTTTGGGGCCAGGATGGAGCCATGTTCTAGGCTCCAGGGCACAGGATGATCTGGGGCCCAGCCTCTGCCTATGTTTTTCTATTGTCAGCCGTTAATCCTGTCCAGTGCTCCTCAGGAAACATCTCTGGTCTCATTCACTGAAGAATACTGCAAATTTGAGGCCAGCCTGATCTACAGAGCAAGCTCTTAATGGAAGAGGGAGGATGTGGGAAAATCAAGGGCACAAGAAGAAGGATGGGAGCCTCATTCTAGAGTCTGTTTGAAGTTTCTCACCCACTGAGAGTCAAGAATTCCATCACAAGTTACAAAATTTGCTGTGAAGATTGCCTACACAGAGTGTTCCCTTTACATGGGCATTGTGGTCTCCTTCACATGTGCTTGCAAAATCTTCCTTTTACATGGACAGTTTTTTTGTTTGTTTGGTTTTGGTTTTCCAAGACAGGGTTTCTCATTAGCTATGGAGCCAGCCCTGGAACTCGCAAGCGGATTGGCCTCGAACTCACAGAAATCTGCCTGCCTCTGGGAGTGCTGGGATTAAAGGTGTGTGCCACCACTGCCTGACTAACATGGACGTTTCAGATAAGAATGTCCCATTAGTAAGAAGCCACACTGGAGGGCTGCAGCCTGACCTTTGAGTTGAGAGTTGCCCTCTCAGCTGGAAACCTGCAATGCTCCCATTGCAGATGCAGTGTGGTCACTCTGCTTCCTGTCTGCCAAGCCGGCCTCACACTCCTGCTGCCATGCCTTCCCTGCCATGATGGACTGTATCCCATCAGGAACTAATGAATTATCCTTTGGATTAGCAGGAGAAAGAAAGCCCAGAAGAGACCCATGGTTTTGTCACCTCTACTTTTTTGCTGACCATACAAAATTTGTTTTCTGTAATAGTGAGTTGGAAATAATCAGGCAGTTCTCCAAAGCAAACTGACAAACACTGAAACTTTCAGACTCTCACAAGCGAGACCACCTCATTTATGGTAAAGGCATGTGTCTTAATATCCTTGTATCTAACCTAGTACAGTACCGATTCCTTCGGTCCTTTGGTCCGTGTTTTTATATTATCAGCCTGCGTTCCTATCCAGTGCTCTTCAGGAGAACGCTATGGTCTCACCCACTGAAGAACAAAGCCCAAATAACTACCATCACCGCCAACAACAAATACCCCAAATTTCTTAAAACCCTATGAACAGTGCAACTTCAGAACTCACCCAAGCCACATATATGACCACAAAGATGCTTAAGGGAGACTTTCTCTTAAGAAACACATACCCAGGGAAGTCTCAGCAGGTAGAATCACCTGCCATGCGAGCCCATCTGAGTTTGATCCTGGAACTCGCATGAATGTGCGAGGAGAGACGAGACTCTGCAAAGTTGTCCTCTGCCCTCCACACATGCGCCGTGGCACTTGTGCACCGGCACTCATGCATACACAACAACGATGCTTAAAAATGAATCGCAGACCACTTTCCCACCAGTGGGTGTGCACTGTTCTCATAGGTCCCTGTAGCTATCCTGGCAGGAATGGTGGTATTTTAAAGAGACATCTGTGGCCTCCCTTTGGCCATCAGACTGTTTATTGATGGAATTTTGTGAATGGAAAATTGGGACTTCCCCGGAATCTCAGGCTGGGAGAAGGAAGAGACTGAGGCTGGGTGCAGCCCAGAGGGGGAAGATGTCTCCCAGGAGGAAGTCTTACACAGCTCGGACAGCATGACTGCCTGTAGGGAGGCAGGAGCCTAGACGATGGTGGGGGCACCCCAGCCCTTGACCGTGACTGCTTAGCTGTGTGTGTCTAGCCTTCTAACACAAACCTCATCACCCGTCTATTTAGATGGCCCCCTGAGGATGGGTGACAGAGACTACACACTGACCCTGACAACTTCAGTAATGGTCTTTTGTCTCGCTTCCCTTTTATGCTCAGGCTTAATCTATACTAAATCCTTTCAAAACTAAGCTCCA